AGTATTTGTATGTAATTTAAATGATAAAATCACATCACAAAAGTCGAGCAACCTCTTTCTTACTTCTTTTTTCACTGCGTTTGAGCTTTATCCTCACAAGCATTGCCACTAGCTGCCTCCCTTTCGTGGAAGAAGAGGGGATCGAAAAATCTGTGACCTCAGCAGCAAGCCTTTTTTTTTCTGCCCAACCCATTCCGCGTGTTAGTCGCCTGTTTTGCTCGCTTTCGCCCCATGCCCTTGCGCCGCTCAAGCTTTTTCCGCTTGGATAAAGGCAATCGGAAAGGCCTGGTACGCAGGTTAGTCTATATTGTGAAAGACCATCTTTGAAGCTTTTTACACAAATTTGAAGTTATTTTTAAGTGATACAGGTTTGGCATAAAATCAGAGTCACCATCTCGAATTAAAATCTAAAACAAATAGTATAGAGTCTTAGTCAAATTAACTTCAAAAGGGGTTTATCATTTTATAAAACTATGACTCGTCTATGGCTAAGTGATCAAATATTAACAAAGTTATAAATCCGAGTGGATAGTGAAATACTTCCTCAAAAATTGTCTCCTATTAGGAGATTTTCTGTTGCTGTTCAAAGAACTGCCAGTCTATTAAAAACGTTGACTCCGAAGATTAAAATATAAATTCTCCCTATCGTTTCCAGTACTTTTCTTATCATTTTGGAAATGGGAACTTAGTTCTTAACTAAATGGTGATGCTTTTTATTATTCTCGGCACCTTTCCGCCCAATCAAGTCTCAATGTTGTGAGGATAAATTATTACTTGGTCACCTCTGGGAGCGAAAGACTTAACTAAGGAATCTTAAAAAGTCTTAGAGTAGAATAAATCAATATTAATAAAGTAATAGTAATAAATGAAAAGTACCACATAGGCTATCTCTATTTCATGTTACGAGCATGCGCATTTGTTTGCTACAATAACGTCCACAAGACGTAAAGCTGAAAAGGTGAGAAGTTACTGAATGTAGATAATGTACGAGAAGTAGTGATACGTTTGAGGTGCTTTTAAAATGAGTTATGCTACTAAAGCCAATAAAAACTACATTTTGCGCAATATGCAAGTATCCACTAAGTTAGAAGTATGTTGAATTGCAGGGCCTGTGCTCGGCCTGTACCGGTGAGTGGGTACTTGGGTAACGACTTTTTAACCGCAGATCTTCCCACTTTTAAATCCCCACTAACCAGAACTCTCTTGCGAAAAATAGCAACTCTGTTCTAGTAACTGCAACCTCGTTTAAGTCAACCCTGTCGTGAAAATGCTTGCCAATCAAGCGGCACATACCACATCCCCATAAGCCCATTACTAGAAAGTACCCCTGGAGTAGGGAGGGGGGCTGAAAAACGACTTACTGAACGTCAATATTGTCATCTTCACAGACACAGTGTAAGGCGTCTGCCATGAAGTGCTGTTTGGTTTCAAGTTGTCGCGCGTGGGCACAGATAAAGAAAAACAAAAGCAACAGAGGCGGGCGCTGCACAGATCTATGCCGAGGTACGTCATCAGAAAGGAATTTCTTATGTTTGCCTTAAGAA